CAAAGCCAATCCACTCTTGTCAATATTCACTATGCATTTCAACTGGTTTGAAAGGAAAGCAAGTTCACTGTCACCCTCTTTGCCATCCATTCTAACACAAGTAAATCCAAGCTCAATACSCTTATCACAAMGAAATTCAAAGACAGTGTTAATCTTGTTACACCTTATCAATTGTACTCTTCTTCCATCTTTGAATTATCAGTGACAATAAATCTTTTGCAGAGCGCATRCTGGTCTTTTAGTATGGTTGGTCCACTTTCAAGGCATACTAATAACATTTGAAACAGTTATGGGCATCTACTAAGGTGATCATTTATATCTGAACAACCAAAATTAACCATGGAAGTCATAGCCTAAGCAGGGAGAGCTGTCATTGGGACTTTTTAGGGGAATCATTCAAGCCCAACTGCAGGCGTCTGTGTACAGTATCAGCCTTCAGATTTATCTTATAGGGCATTTGCCTCCCTTACAATTTTTGCAACAGATGTATGCAACTGCTTTGGAAAATTTTCTCTTTGGTGTTTCACCTTTGAAATCACCACCATGTACAACTTCTTTCCAACCTCAGCCTGCATAAGATCCCTCTTGAGTTTTTCATGATACTGTAAAGCTGTATCCCTTCTTCCCCCATCCTCTTTGCTCTTCTTCTGCTTCTTCGTCACAACTTCTTCCTTCTTAATGTTGCTGCTACAAAGGATTCTGGATTGTTTGTTGTTTGTTGTTTGTTGTTTGTTGTTTGTTGTTTGTTGTTTGTTGTTTGTTGTTTGTTGTTTGTTGNTGTTTGTTGTTTGTTGTTTGTTGTTTGTTGTTTGTTGTTTGTTGTTTGTTGTTTGTTGTTTGTTGTTTGTTGTTTGTTGTTTGTTTTAGCTATTTTTTCTTATCAATTTGAAAATACCTTCAGTTGGGTTCTACCAGTCATTTTGATACACCGCTACTTGCACATGATAGCCAAGAGTGATACATTTTTGAGGCTGTAATTTTCTTCAGTATGGAGAACTTTCTCGAATTGGTCAATTTCATTCAAAAGAGGTGCTCAGTACGGTTGTCAATGCAAACTTTAGAGTTCCCGTGTTAATATAGTGTATTTTCATGTGTGAAAATTAAAAAAAAATTATTTATGCACATGCTCATTTTTAATCTACAGTACTGATTCTATTGTGAAAGCCAACGGCCAGAAACTCCAAAATCTGTTAAGTAAATACTGCACAATTGTTTTGGAAAAATAAAAAGGGAAAAATGCACCATTATTTAGGAACAGAGGTAGTAGAACCCCAACCTCAAATGATTATACTCATACAAAACTAATACTACTTTAAGTACACAAAAGAATATCAACCAAAAAATCAACCATGTAGAACACAGTACTACATATCTATGTAGGTGCACCAAGGTGCACCAAGCCAGTGCGCAGTGTGCAAGAGTATCAGAGTGATTGATGAGAAGTACTCACACAATCGCCCACAAGGCAAATTCTATGGGAAAAACACAAGTCAGGAGAGTAATTTGTGACAATAACTTCAAATCACCAACACTCTTCTTTGTCAGCTATCTTGCAAGCCCCTGTTGTTGAGGATAGGAGCTAAACACCTAACAGTCAGCATATACACCACAGTACTATTTTTATGTTTTTTTAATACAAGGGGGGGGGGGGACAAGCATTAAGGAAACATTTCAACACACAACAAAGAACAAAAAGCATCAACATTGACAACAAAGATAAAGGGTCAAGAAGCAACGGCCGGTCCTCAGAGCAAGTGGTATCCCCCAATAGCTTCACGGGGATCCATGGCTCTAATGATATCAGATACCTTCCTGGTTGGACCACCATACACTGCATAGATTCTTCTAATAGCAACTTCAGCAGAAGCGCCAGCATAAATCAGTCTCGCCATACACTTTCAGAACTTCAGCCTCCTGTAGTACTTGCTCTTTACACGTCCTCTCTCAGTTACAGTGAAAGCCTTTGCAGGCTTGTTCAGACCAACACCTATTTCCCATTCATTCCAGAGAACATACAGGTCTTGAGGACACTTAGTCAGCTGAGCTACTCCCCTGTCAGTTCCTGCACCAGCTTCCAACACACCACTGTTCAACACACAAGGAGGCCTTCTTCTTGCAACAGGAGCCATAGCAGCTCTCTGGGATAGCTTGATTGCCTTATTAAGCTTCTGATTGAACTTTGCTTCACTTGCAATCTGCCTATTCTTAATATCATTCACTTCATTAGCTGTGGCAAACAGTTTGGAGAACATTGCATAGTCATTCCACTGCAACTAGGTCCATTCTAATACCAACTGCAGTTGCTGCACTCCTGCCAGCAGCTGCTCCTCCACCACCAATCAGATCATCTGGATCTGCAAGCTCATCAAAGTGGACCTGCCCACTGATCTCATTGGCAATCAGCCCAACACACTTGATAGGATTCACATCAGGATCTAATCTATCATCAACTGGGTATCTGTGGTTCAGTTGAACCCAAGAAGCAATGATGTCCCTCTTTACATCCTCAGGAAGGAGCCTTGNGTTGTTTGTTGTTTGTTGTTTGTTGTTTGTTGTTTGTTGTTTGTTGTTTGTTGTTTGTTGTTTGTTGTTTGTTGTTTGTTTTAGCTATTTTTTCTCATCAATATGAAAATACCTTCAGTTGGGTTCTACCAGTCATTTTGATACACCGCTACTTGCACATGATAGCCAAGAGTGATACATTTTTGAGGCTGTAATTTTCTTCAGTATGGATAACTTTCTCGAATTGGTCAATTTCATTCAAAAGAGGTGCTCAGTACGGTTGCCAATGCAAACTTTAGAGTTCCCGTGTTAATAGTGTATTTTCATGTGTGAAAATAAAATAATTTTTATTTATGCACATGCTCATTTTTAATCTACAGCACTGATTCTATTGTGAAAGCCAACGACCAGAAACTCCAAAATCTGTTAAGTAAATACTGCACAATTGTTTTGGAAAAATAAAAAGGGAAAAATGCACCATTATTTAGGAACAGAGGTAGTAGAACCCCAACCTCAAATGATTATACTCATACAAAACTAATACTACTATAAGTACACAAAAGAATATCAACCAAAAAATCAACCATGTAGAACACAGTACTACATATCTATGTAGGTGCACCAAGGTGCACCAAGCCAGTGCGCAGTGTGCAAGAGTATCAGAGTGATTGATGAGAAGTACTCCCACAATCGCCCACAAGGCAAATTCTATGGGAAAAACACAAGTCAGGAGAGTAATTTGTGACAATAACTTCAAATCACCAACACTCTTCTTTGTCAGCTATCTTGCAAGCCCCTGTTGTTGAGGATAGGAGCTAAACACCTAACAGTCAGCATATACACCACAGTACTATTTTTATGTTTTTTTAATACAAGGGGGGGGGGGGGGACAAGCATTAGTAAGGAAACATTTCAACACACAACAAAGAACAAAAAGCATCAACATTGACAACAAAGATAAAGAACGGCCGGTCCTCAGAGCAAGTGGTATCCCCCAATAGCTTCATGGGGATCCATGGCTCTAATGATATCAGATACCTTCCTGGTTGGACCACCATACACTGCATAGATTCTTCTAACAGCAACTTCAGCAGAAGCGCCAGCACAAATCGTCAGTCTCGCCATACACTTTCAGAACTTCAGCCTCCTGTAGTACTTGCTCTTTACACGACCTCTCTCAGTTACAGTGAAAGCCTTTGCAGGCTTGTTCAGACCAACACCTATTTCCCATTCATTCCAGAGAACATACAGGTCTTGAGGACACTTAGTCATCTGAGCTACTCCCCTGTCAGTTCCTGCACCAGCTTCCAACACACCACTGTTCAACACACAAGGAGGCCTTCTTCTTTTTGCAACAGGAGCCATAGCAGCTCTCTGGGATAGCTTGATTGCCTTATTAAGCTTCTGATTGAACTTTGCTTCACTTGCAATCTGCCTATTCTTAATATCATTCACTTCATTAGCTGTGGCAAACAGTTTGGAGAACATTGCATAGTCATTCCACTGCAACTAGGTCCATTCTAATACCAACTGCAGTTGCTGCACTCCTGCCAGCAGCTGCTCCTCCACCACCAATCAGATCATCTGGATCTGCAAGCTCATCAAAGTGGACCTGCCCACTGATCTCATTGGCAATCAGCCCAACACACTTGATAGGATTCACATCAGGATCTAATCTATCATCAACTGGGTATCTGTGGTTCAGTTGAACCCAAGAAGCAATGATGTCCCTCTTTACATCCTCAGGAAGGAGCCTTGCAATGATGGCAGTTCCTTTAGTAAATAGCCACTGGCTTGCACCACCACCACCATCCTTGCACCATTTCTTTTCAAGGAATTGAGCAAGCCCAAGAACCACACAAGCCCTGTGATTTATCGATCCCAGCAGTACAAGTATTTGTCTGGGACAATGGCGTTCGGGTACTACGTACGTACCCGACTTAAGTCCTTAAAGTAGTTAGCATACTACGGTACTCATGGCCAACTGTGAAGAATCTCGAAAAGTGAGTGAATCATATTGAATCTAATGAATCATACCGGTAGTACGGAGGTAGTCTCAAAACATCATCTTTCAAAACGATACTGTACTGTCCCGTACGGTAGTACTGTACGGTACGGTTCTCGTAATCAGCAATCATCCCACGTGAATCTAATTGCGGAAAGACGGGTTACGGCATTTAAGATAGACGGTAATGGTCTATGGAATGATTGAAAAGGGGAACGACGATCGAGTAGTACAACCTTCGAAGCTACGCGCGTAGCGGAACCGTACCCTACGGTAGATTCTGCCAGCAGAATACAGTACAGTACGGTACATACAGTACGTTATCGTTTAGTACGGAAAGAAACATCGGACAGCGTTATCGTGTACGAGTACCCACCATTTTTTCACAAGAAGGGTCTCTAACTGGGACAGAATTCTTCAGCTCAGCAGAATTCGAAGGAAATTATTGATTATTGACCATTAACACAGAGACACAATCTGCATTATTCGGCGCTAAAATACAAGAAGCAACTGCGGTAAAGATGAAGGCCATCCGTCAACTTCTAGTCACGTCTCTGTTTTCTTCATCAAGAGCATTCGTTCAATTCCCAGCAAAATCTTTCAAACAACAACAAACAATTAGGCAAAGATTCTATAATGATGCGGTGACGACATCTGCCGATATCCTTCATGCCTCCTCTCTCGAAGTTGACATCTCGAACGAAAACATTTTTGATGATATCGAMGATTCTGAATCACCTCTCTCTCTACCTTCAGCAATGTTGAGCTTCCCGCGACATTCGAAAGATGTGGTAAATGATGTTCTGATAGAGACGGAGGCTTTGGTTCAGAATCTACACCGAGATTCAAAAGCCGTTGACCCGAAGACAACAAAACGTTCTATGTCCCCCATGGACAGCTCTCACGATTCGATCTATGCGAATACTTATGTTGATTTAGGAAACATTGACACTGTTGGATTTGACTATGATTATACACTTGTGCATTACACCGAAGAACTATTAACTCTTTTGTACTCGATGGCACTCAATCGGTTGGTAAACGATCGGCATTATCCGAGGGAAATGCTGAYGTGTGGTCTAAACTATGACGCCTTCTTTAGTATAAGAGGGCTTGCTGTGGACAAGGATACTGGTTGGATCTGCCATCTTTCCTACACGCACAAAGTTGCTGTTGCCTGGGAGGGACGAGAAAAGGTCTCTACATCTCGCATTTTCGAGGAATACCGTGGAAAGCGAGGACTCAACCCAAGAGAACGGAAAGCCCGATTGAAGCCATTGAACGACCTATTCAGTATGGCAGAATGCTGCCTCATTGCCGATACGATCCAATACTTCAAAGATAACGACATTGACTTTTGCTCCTCGAACGTAGTAACCGACATTCTTGGAGCGATTCGTGATACGCACATTTCCGGAGACTTTCATCGCATAGTTGCTGACAACCCAGAAAAATATTTTGACCCAACGCCCCATTTGAAAGACGTTTTGGGAAATCTGAAAGACTCTGGAAAGCGTCTCATATTTGCTAGGTAAGGTTTTTTGGAAAACAGAAGGCATCACCTGTGTTTTTGGTACCCAATTCCCCAAACGAACAACAAAACTAACAACATTCACGTTTATTTCGTTTTCTCATCTCCCACAAAATAATATTCAATAGTAATTCTCCTTTTTGGTATGTTGATGCAGGAATGAAATTTGTTTTAGGGGAGGAATGGATAGATATTTGGGATGCGGTTATTGTTAGTGCAGGCAAACCAGCTTTCTACACCGAAACTCGACGTCCATTTCGTGAAGTTAATACTGAGACAAATCGAGTACGATTTCAAAAAGTAGAAAAACTTGAAACYGGCAAGGTATACACCGAAGGATGCCTTCGCGAACTGACGAAACTGATGGATTGGAACGTTGGCGGAGATAGTGTCGAATCGATGGGCCCGCTGAGTATGAATTCCAACGTGTTGTATATTGGAGATTCCCTTTTTGCCGATTTGGTTGATGCCAAACGAGAATACGGATGGATTACCGCAGCTGTGACACCGGAGGTTGGATTTGAGTTAGATGTTCAACAATCTAACGACCATGTACTGGCTGAAAAAACCATAGCAATTTTGTTGACTGCACTCAGACAAGTACAACTGGAAATGGGCACAAGAGAATATACCGTTGAAGACTCGTTGGTGCTRGACAAATTAGAAAAGTTAGTATCTATGTGGAGAGATCGAGAGACAAACATGCTTGGAAACCCGTTTGGTAGTGTTTTCCGGGCGCGTTATCAGCCCAGCTTATTTGCCCATTCGCTGAGACGGTATTGCGATCTATACATGAACAGTGTTGGATCGTTGCGACTCTATAGTCCTCAACATAGATTCTATCCCGAACCAGATTTTCGGTTATTAGCACACGAGATAACAAGATCAACAGTGGTGCACTGCACGGAGCCCCAACCTGACCCAGAATCATGTGAGATYGATGATAGTCTTGGAAAAAGCAGCTGAGGCTTACMATGATCTAAKGATAATTTTCCACCCAGGAAAAATCGCACTTGAAAATGGATTACAGCAGCAAAGCCGAGAGTAAAAAATAAGAACGCAATCTATCCCCTTGTTTCCACGTACGACCAACAACAAGAAATGATCCATTGCGCTGCGGARGGAAATTGTAAGAAAAAAATCTMAAATTGCACCAATAGAATGAAAGTAGTATTATCCTTTTAAATTCTAAAGTGGAGGACAGAGTATTTACTCGTAAATCCAGTCCTTGGAGTGGCTTGTCCAGTCAATCACTTCATCATCGTCGAACCAAAGAGCAATTTCCTTCTCGGCGTTTTCAACGCAGTCACTTCCGTGGCAGATGTTTCGTCCCACCTCGATACAGAAATCTCCTCGGATGGTTCCTGGGCTCGAGGCCAATGGGTTAGTTTCTCCCAACATCTTTCGTCCAGTGACGACGGCTTCCTTTCCTTCCCAAACCATGCAGACAACAGGGCCGCTTTAATATCAAATGTGATGTGCACCGACAGAAAGATGCAGGATACGATGAGATGTCGAAATAATGGAWTTGCCAAACACATTCCTTTGCACTTCATTTTTTGACAGGCTCTTCAACATGATTACYCCACATGYGAATTTTCGTTATTTCTTACCTCATCATGTAATCTCTGAGACCAGGGAAGAAAGGCTTATCGACGAGATCTTTGTAGTGTTCGTCGAGAAGCTCCTTGGTTGCTTGCTTGGTCTTCATGGCAGACAACTTGTAACMCTTGGTTTCAAATCGGCTGATGATATTACCGACGATTCCTCTTTGAACTCCATCAGGTTTGATCTGTGATGATATAAAACAACATTTTTGTTAGCACAACTTAGCATAAATCCACGTCTGCAYATGTCGTGGTCGAACAAATAGCATCCTTTCCGCGGGTACGTACCATGATGTAGGTACGCTCAGCAGCGTTCATGGTCATGGAGAAACCATGGGCGACTCCCAAAACAGCAAGGATGCATGCAAYGGAAAAGGTATTCATCTTGATTCTTCCTACTTYGTTTATTCGAACTCTGATACAGAAATTATGAAGATTCCTTCYGTTGTTTCATCCTCGTCATCGCCCATCAAACTGATTTACCTGACACAATACCGTACGGTACACTTCGTACGAGGACGACGACGGTATTACGTACATACCAATGTATTTCAGTTCATATTCTTACTTCCAAGTAGAACAAAGTTATCGGTGGACTCATTTCTGAATACGAGTATCGTACGTAGTTGGTATCCTTTCCTCATCGTCAACCTTACTGTGCGGTACTACCGGTACTGTAATGTAGTCCAGTGGGTACGAGTGCTCGTTAAAATAGATACAAGTACCGGTGCGTACGTAGTCTACTAAAGTCTACAGTAGACAGTAGATGTGCTGGTCTGGCTCGTGTGATTCATGAAAAACTCGAAAACGTCAGCGCGTGTGCGCACAAACCATTGCCGCGCAGAATATTTTACTRCATTTCGGGCTCATAACCTCATTGTGGCGAAGAGAACAGTAATTTCATTTCACGTTTTGATTTCGGCATCGCATGGATGGAAATTGGAAATGCTCTCCACTAGAAAAGTTTCCCCTGGCATGAACCGGCATTGCCTTGGGAACACAAGCTCGGTACCAACCGGAGGTTTTCGATCAAAAGTACTTCTATCTCTGCACCAGCAGCACGACTTGCTCCATAGGAGACCTTATCTTCACCCATATTCTCTCTTTCGATAGTTTTATTGAAAGAAAAATCCTTTTGTTACGGTCTCAAGTGCCAAGTTCTAAACTCAAAAATGGCGGACGCAGCAGCATTTTTTGCGAAGAAGAAAAAGAAAAAGAAGACTTTCAAGTTCAACGCAAACACTATCGATGCGTCTCAGGTGACCAATACGGTTCATGTGTAAGTCTAAGGAGTCAATCGCATGACGCTAAGAACGACTGCCTCTTATGAATGATTTGTGGCATTTTGCGGTCGTACAGAATACCGAYGTTTCTTCCTTTCAATGCTCATCACTCATCCTGTTTTGTCAACCTTGCCCTCTCGGAAATGCGACTCGGAAACTACCAAAAATTTTAGTGACGCTCCCGCCCTATCGAACACGGCAGATTTGGTTCCAACGACGGGAGCCTTGCCTTTGGAAAAGGACGCAAAAGTGGCAAACGACGATAATTGGGATGACGAGGCGTTGGCAGCCAATACGATGCGCAAAGGTGCGGCTGTAGTGGTGCCTGCAGGAGTTACTACCAAAGATCTCGTTGTRGAAACGAAGGCTCTTTCGCTGAAGACAAACACAGGTGGTAACGAGCAAGATGATATTGCCGAAAAGTTGCGAGTGGAAGAAACAAAAGCGAAGTTAGCAGCGGCACGAGAGGGCATGGAACGAGAGGCCCAGCGCATCAAAGAGGAAAAGGAAAAGAAGGAAGAAAAGGCTGCATCTTCTCGATTCGGAGCTGCCGCTGCCAGCGGTGGAAAATGGGTTCCCTCGCGAGCTCGAGCCGCTGGAGGTGGATTGTCCTCTATCGGATGGGGCTCGAAAATGGCCTCCCAACAAAAAGTCGATACTGAAGAYGAAAATCTCTTCCCAGATTTGGCGGCAGCCGATGCCATACTCGAAAAGCAGAAAGCCGAGCTACCAGCTTACAAAGCACCAACAAAGACGCCTGTTGGAGGCGGTGCAACGTGGGGAGCACCTGCAGCCCCCAAAACCCGACCGAAGTTAAATCTCAAAAAGAAAGCGGTGGTGGAAGAAACCCCTGTAACTACGGAGAAAGCAGCCAAAACGGAAGAAGCCCCTGTGACCGAGGAAGCAAGCCCTGAACCTGCTGCTGAAGAACCTGCGCCAGAAGCAGCAGCACCTGTTGAAGCTGCTGCTCCGGCCCCCGCACCAATTAAACCAAAGAAGAAGAAAAAGAAAAAGGATCTCAGTACATTYGGAAAGAAATAAAATTCGCGATGGTCGCAACTCAATCAAACTTACTCGCTTTGTTTGTTGGTCGCCGCTTTCACAAACTGTGCTCTGAAAGTGTGGAATTCATTSCCACATATCAAAGTAATCTTGGGCGTTTACCCACAACCTGTTCGAGGAACGAGATCGATTCCTCACTATGTAACAAGATCCAAATCTACCCTCGTTGCTAATAAAGAATAGATATCAAACTAAAGCCTTCTCGTACTTAAAAAGGAAATATTTTCAACTACTT